GGGTCCCCCCCTCGACAGCCCCTTCCGCGCCGGAGGGTCTCCCTGCTGCCCCCTGCCCGGCATCGCGAGGGGGCCCCCGCGCCCCAAGCGCTTTTGGCCACCGCCGCGTCCCCCGGGCGAGCAACGGGAGCGCTGCCAACAGTTGCCCCGCGGCGTCTCGTGGCGCTGACCCGCTCGGTCGCCGTCCCCGGCCCGCGGGAAGTTTCTTGCCGCGGGTTTGAAAGCGCCGTGAAGGTGCTCGGCGGAACGCCTGGTGCTGCGGAGTCCGAGCAGGTTTCCCCTCGCGGAGGCCGCTCTAAGCGGATGCTACAAGTTTGTTTTCTCTCGGCAGTGTTTATCGAGCACAAGAAGGCCTTCATATTAAAAGCTGATGGCAAGATATGGCTCACGCTTGTTTCAGGCAAGTAGGAGGGATGCCCTGGGGTGAAAAACTCTTCACTTCTTTTGGTCTGAATCGAAATATACTTGGAAATTTAGTTTAAAAAAGAGCATAACTCCTATTGTAAAGAGAGAGGAAATTACTTCCTACTTGTTATTTTTTTTAAGCTGCTATTACGGGAGTTGATGTGCCAGGACATTGGTAGGAAAGTGAATATCTAAATGAGGTCTATGGATCTCTTCTAGTCAGTCATTAATTTCTAGACAAGACATTGAACACTGACTGTTATTCACTAGTGTAATCACAAGAGCTTTTTTTTGGTGTGTGTGTGTGAGGATTATTGTTGGAAGAAGATATAACAATGGGGAGGGAGTGTAAATTTGAAGGTCATCATACATGGAAATATTTGGGAGCAAACAACAAAATTGCTAATGGCCACACTATCGGAAAGAAGCATCTGTAATTTTTGCCAAAGTAAATGCACAGTGTGCTCCTAAAGTTAACAAATGTTAAATAATGCCATATTTAGTAGATTCATAATTAGATGTACTCTTAGAATTATTATATGAAAACACTGTCAGAGTATTCCAAGTATGCTAGTGGTCTTAATGACACTGCCAGGAGTTCTTGTTGCCGGAGGAGTCTCTTTCAATTTGATGAATTACATTGCAAAGTTGTAGCAGAGAAATAATTCATAGTTTACAAACTAATTGATAAGTTGTTCATGAATTGTTTTCCCCGTTTATGCTGCATCTCTTAGACTAGTGGTTATTTAAATGACATGAAAATGTAGTCGAAAAGACCAAATGGTCAAAAATTCAAACTTTCCTGTGATTGATATGTGAGAACAGATTAGGCAGACAGCCTTATAATTTTTGGAGTTTACATGTGGCTATGAAAGCCCAATAACTAATTGAATGCTTCATGAAGCTATTTACAATTTTTAGGAGCAAAGCTTTTGCAAATAGTAAACTATGTAAATACGCTAAATATTAAATAATATTTTTGGTAGCTTTTAGTGATAGCTGTATTTCTGTTTTGGTGTTTGTCCTGAAAGCTTAAACAAAGACTTTTAAAATACAGAGACTCACATGTTCGAATAATTTTTTGTTGTAGTGTTTAGTGTTAGTATTGGGCACTACAATAACTTTGCTGGATTTTCCAGTTATTTTTTCTTGTACAGAAATTTGACCAATGTTAATCTTTTCTTATGTCCATTGAATTGAGGCCTAGTTCTCAGAGACATCCTTTCCAGAACCTCGCAATGAAATACTTTGAATAAGGTGCAAAAGCAGTCAGTCCTCCTTATACTTTCTTCCTTTTTACCAGTTCTACTGTATTCCTGTATAGCCATTTTTGAGGCTTGCTAGGTATTAAGCAGTTTTTAGCATGTGTTGTGCTACAGTGTCTCAGCGATAGCCCTCTTTATGAGTGAGTTCGATATGTTACATCTTCTTTTAAGAAGCATTTCTCTTTTTGGTTTTCAATTTCCAAATTACTATGTGCCATTCATATTGCCTGTTTTAGAACAGGACATAAGCGAAAATGGAAAATCAAGAGAGTCAAGGATCAGATTTTACTCAACAGCTTTAACAGTTTGCAAAAAATTGGTCTCACGATTCTGTTGGATGAGAAAATATCATTAGCAAAATAAAGTACAAAGCAGTTCTAGCACCAGGACTCTCTAGAGTTTCTCTTCTTCCCACTTCTTCTGTCCTTCTCCCGGTAAGGACATCAGGGAGGTTAGAGGATGGTAATGTAAGAGAGCTGCTCACATGTTTCTCTGCAGAAACTTGCTCGCTGTGAGCTTGGATGCAGACTTCTAAAGTAGATTGTAGATCTGTACTTGTGGTTTGAGTCTATGAAAGGTGCACATTGTCTCTTGAAGTGTAAATAATGACATCAATTGCTTTGTGATTACAAAGGGTTTTCTTTATATATATGCAACAAAGAGTGATATTGTGATGCTGAATAAAATGTATATGAAGTTCTTCTGAGTAATTGATTGAAGGTATTTACAGTTATTTCACTGACTTTAAACAAAACATTTACAGAAGGGAAAAATCAAATTTAAACATATTTATTTTCTTTATGAAATAAGTGACACCTTTGGATCTGAATTGTAATTTCAGGATAAATATATAATTTAACTCTAACATAAATACACTTTGTATTTTGGTTCATTTGATATCTCTTGAAATCGAGATAATGAATAGTGCTAGTTGTGAATGTACATCCTGTCCTTACTGTATAGACTTTCCTAACATGTAATCCGTCTTGAATTTTATTTTACTGTATTTGAGATGTATGTGTATATGTGCATGAGAAATATATATATATATTTCTGCATCTAATCTTATGGGAAAGATAACCTTAAAATATTTCTGGAAATAAAGTAATGCATTATTTGCTTTTGTCTGGATGTCACATTCAGTAAGTAATAGTTAAGAAAAGGAATGAACTGTTCCATTTCTGTTCACACAGTTATTCTGAAACAAGTTTGTGTACTAAATACAGATTATTACATTGTTGATAAAGCTAACTTGCTTACTTGGAATTCCACATATCTTATCTACTGTACTGAAAAATGTATTTTCAGCTTCTCCATGAGAACTGATGTAATTGTCCTTAATATAAAACAACTGCAGCTCACTGAAAATTTAATTGTGAGCTCAGTGATTTTTTTTTTCTATAAACTATGTGTAAAAATGTAAACTTTTCAATATAAGGCTGTTGAATTCATTCTGTAACTGAAATTTGGGCCTCTATTTGATAAAATTGCTTCAGTGAGCTGAAAAGGGAGTTTTCCAAGTTGTGTTGTGTTAGCTTAGCTACTCTATGAAATATGTAACTTGAAGTAAATGTTCTCCTGTTAGTTGTAAAGGGACGTAGTCTAGACTCATTCCTCTCGTGCAGTGCTTTTCTTGTTTATCGCCCATGATTGCTCAGTTAATATTAAAAATTGAGATTTGCAAATGTGGCTGGTTACATTGTCAACTGCACTGACGACGATGATAACAGGTGCTACCTTTGATGGAGGCAGCAACAGTTCCTGACACATTTTCTTTTGGGCAGTATATAGCTGGGAAGTAAGAATACATTGTCCACCCTTCTTTAACATAATTTTAGTCTTCTTGCAAAGCTGTTCTCTTCCTTTTGTTCCTGCTGCTTGCCATAAGCAGACCACCTTGCACCTGTAACACAGGCACCTTATGAACTCAGGTGTGTTCACGAACCCTCTATCTCTTGCATCGCTGTGCAAGTGCTTTACTTCTGCTAAATGGATGTGCCCACAGCTTTTCCCCTTGCACGGTGTACGCACGCGCGGCTGTGCTCTCGGGTGTGAGGGCTGCTGAAGGGCAGTGCCTGTCAGCACCATGGAGAGGGGCTTGGTGCTCAGCACCTTTGTGCCTCCAGTGGGCCAGGAGCAGGAAGGTTGGTGCCCTCATGGCTTTCTCCTCACTCCTAGTAGCCCCTCTGGCTAAGATGGCCCTTCAGAAGCACATGTACTTTCTTGGGTTGAAGGCAACCAGTCTACCTGACTTGCCCTTGGCAGAGAACCACTGGGTGCTTAGAGAGCAACCCAGACCCCTTGGGTCTAAGGGGAGCACCATGATTCACTCTGTCTTTAATGCCTAACTTTGATACATCCCTCTTACTAGGAGGGTGAGCTCTGGATACCTTGTGAATGCTGCCCATTCCTTTGGATCTTGTCATGCTCAAGAAGTTAGAGACCTGGACTGTTTACCCACAGCTTCATCAGCGTCTATTATTTCTGTTCCTCCTTCAACTTGCCGCACTTATTCTCTGCCACAGTAATCAGTGACAGTGCAAACTGTTTCAGAATAGACAAATGGTGTGTTATTAGGTAGTGGTTCCACCATCTTTAGGAATTAGATAATAGCCTCAATTAGATTTACGTTGATATCCTAAAAATATGCTGCCTATAACTTGTAATTGCTTATACTCAGCCTTATTTCTTGATAGGTGAAACAGATCTATTACAATCTAAACAATCTGTTTGAGTGTTTCAGGGTACAGGTGACACCATCAACCCTTGCTTAATGCCATCAGCATAACTTTAGATCTTCTGAGTTAGCCAAAAATGTTAATTCAGATGCTCCTATATCTTTGCTCCTTTGGAGACTGAGTAGGTTTTATGTACTTAGCTCAGGCTCTGAACTAGTAGTGTAATTGCTTCTAAAAACATGTTTTTATGTTCTGTGATTTTAACATTTAAGTAACTTGACACTTTTTGTTTTCTTTACAGCTGCTTTTGCTGGAGTTGTACATTGGTAAGCTTATATTTATTGACTGAGAGTAATATGATATTTTAAAATAAAAATGTCATTTTGACTTTTACCCAGATTAACTATGGAGATTATTTATCTTTCATCTCTACACCAAATTGTAATCTCTGAGATCATTAATTCTGTTCTTTTGTAGTTGACTTAAAAGGTTTCTTAAGGCTGTTCAGCCAAGAGTGAAACTTCCTTTCCCAGTGGAAAGTGTTGCATGGCTATCCAAGTTCAGGTGCATTTCTACTAGTAGACCTTGAGCTGATTTTGAGGGTCCAGGTTAAATCCTTTCAGCTTTTATCCTACATTCTGTTTATTTACGTTTTTACATTTTGCTTTCATTCTTAGCTTAGCATCATGTTTCCTACTCTCTCATAAGAGAGGTCTGGCAAATACCTTTTTTGTGCAGAAGAGTGTCCTTTCAACTGCTTTTTGTCAGCATAATCCTTGTGTTTCAGGTTCAATTCCCATCCTTACCCTCTGTTTTTGTAGTAGAGACCTGGCGTAGAATGGCTTCTACAGTGATTTTTCCCTGAGCTGTGCTTGCAGAGATAAAAAGTAACAGATGCTGCTACTCTGTTTTTGCTTTCTGTCTGAAGAAGAACTAACCATTGTTGTAGTCTGTTTCTTGCAAATTCCTGCCCAAAAGTAGAAGCATTTGCCTTTTTTTTTTCCTCATGCTTTTTAGAGATAAAACTTAGAATTTGCAAATAATTATGGAAGCAAAACTTGCATTTTTTTCTGATTTTTTTTAATTTTTTCATAGCTGCCTCTTTATTTAAATTTAAATTAGCACGTATCTTTATAGTGGCAGGGAATTGCATTATAAAACAAGTCAGGAAACAGTTTTATGGAGAAAGCACGCAGTATGTGCAGGTAGTATCTCCACTAGTTGTTAATCTGTCCTTTTCATTGTCCTTGTTTTCATTTTTATTTTCTTTCTTACAGTATAGACTTCTGAGTTTTGGAGGCATTGAAAGTTTGATTAGCTCATTGCACTTAAGTGAAAATGCTTTGCAATATTTTATAGCTAATTATATGATAGGACTTAATAAATGGCCTATAGTTTCATGTTTTTTTTGCCTGTTTTGCTTTGTTTGTTTGTTTTTTCTTTTAAAATACTCTGAACAGAGTTCTTGCAGTATCTGAGTAAAACACCAGTTTATAAGTGTATTTAGGTAGGCAGTTGTTTGCACGATATTTCCTGATATGGGTCACATACTACGGGTTCTTAAATGCTTTATTCCTTTTTAATTATTAGGCTTTTTGCTTCTTTAACAGGTGTCATATAACAACTCTTTTTGAAAATGACCGTCACTTTTCTCACCTGTCAACGCTGGAAAGAGAAATGGCTTTTCGCACCGAAATGGTTAGATTACCTTTTTAACAAAAATTCAGTGATCGGCAAACTTCTGTCCATAATCTTGTGATCATGGACCTTCCAAAATTTCGTAATCCTTTCTCTGTGATTGCACTTTTATCTTTAGAGTAGTTGTATGTGTTATAATGTGAATGTATCTCTTCAAATAATTTGCTTAAAGTACAATTTAAAAATACGATTCTAAAGGACGTAAAATACAAAACTATGAGTATCCCAGAACATACTTTCAATTACAACTGTTATTTAGCAATTTAAAAAAAAAATGCACTTTATTCATTAATAAATTTTTCATATGTATGCATCTTTTTTGCAGCTTTTTTATTTTGGGAATTGTGCAATACTGTGCTAGTGTACATTGCTGCCAAAAAGAGAGATTTTCAGATGAGCCGAGGTGGAAGGAAGCCCACCTTGCTTTTATCAATAGTAGAAGACATTTGGAAATCCTGAATGATTTTGTCCTATAATGAAAAATTGCGTTTAAAAATGAAGCCCATCTACATGACAGTTCATGAAGTAGAAATGACCTCTTTAATTCTAAATAATAATTCTTTATTTTTGTAGGGTCTTTACTATTCATACTTCAAGACTATTGTTGAGGCACCTTCATTTTTGAATGGAGTATGGGCAATTATGAATGACAAACTAACTGAATATCCTTTAGTGATTAACACTCTACAGAGGTTCAATCTTTATCCAGAGGTAAGCCATGTTTTGAAAAGTGTGCCTTCTGAGAAGTCTTTGGTTTCTTTAAATTTTTTATAAGTTTGTAAGAAACCTTACAAGCTGTTATGGATAGTTACAATTCTAAGAGTTCATGTATGAATGCTCGCTATGTAGTAATTATTCATCCCTAAAGTTGCAGTCAAATTTTGTGCGTTTGTGTTTCTTTTTTATTCTTTTAGGGAAAGTGAAGTTCTTGTTCTTATTTTAACACCCAAGGGCTTGTGTCCTAGTACCGAAATATTTGTTTTTCTCCCTCTTACTGTTATGAAATGTGGTGATGCACACACTTTTGCCTGTGTGTCTCAGGCATTTTGAAAAGGAAAACCTCCTTTGATTAATCTACGTTAGTGTAACTATGCATGTCATTAATAACTTCGTTTTTAAGGAGCCATGAAATAATAATGCAATTGCTGTAATTGCTAGGTATTAGCTTTTATACTTATTCCCCTGCTCTGAAACAGAGCTTCTTCCAGGAATTTACACTACTTGTATACAGTAGTTTCATTTGTTTTGTTGCATTCCTCTGGAACAGCTAGATGTTGCTGACTACTGCTTCAGTATCACTGCTTTTTAATGCAAAAGAGGTTTGAACTCAACTTTGAAAATGTAATCTTAGGAACAACTGCCTTATTTGAATGATATTTTTTTTTGTTTATTAAAAAATGTATTGGCTTCGGCTACAATCTGACATAAAAAACAAAGGTATCTGATAAAATGATTTTCCTCTAACTGAATTATCAGTAGCAGAATTAAAGATGTCTTAGTAAACTGGATGATGAACTCAACATTATCTGACTGATAACCCCAGTGATAAAACTTTCCAAACTGTCTAATTAGGATGGTCACCTTACTTATTTATGAGGTCTATAAAGTCTTTAATGTCCTGATGGAATAACTTGATAATATTACTAGTGTCTTTGTCATGAAGTGAGTCTTAGTCTTTCTATATATAAAACAGTGATGTCATCTTTGTCAAGTGTTGAGATTTGTATTGCTTATTATTATAATAACAATAATACCTTTGCACCGAAAATGGAAGTGCTATCTTATACTACATATAAAGCCTCTCTAACATGCACTTAAATTTAACCTATCAAAGTTTATATGAGTTGAAATCCTAAATATCTAAACCATTAATATTCTTGCTAGGTCAAGAACTTTTTACTTGGCTTTAATTCAATTAGGCTATCTGTCCTCTGTCAACAGAACTTAGAATTTTAACCTCTAATATACCAAAATGGTTCAAAAGTAAATCTTCTATAGAATATTGAAATATACCAGTTTTTCCAAATACTTCAGTTTGATGGCTGAAATAATTACTATTCTAGCACAGGCAAAATTTAAGTCTCTTAGTATTTGGTCTGTGTTGGGTGCTTTTAGTGAATTGTGCTCCACAATGCTTAGTTTTTTGGATAAATTTTAAGCTTGAAAAAATATTGTGCATGAGGTCCAGTTGTCATGAAATGTTACCTAGTCTCAAAGTTCCTTTTTAGAAACTTTATATCCTGTTTTGCTCATAGGTGGTCCTCGCGAGCTGGTACCGCGTGTACACTACAGTTATGGATTACCTGAGCGTTCCCACAAAGATGTGCTGGACGGTGAACAGAGGCACAGGGCTTAGCCCTGTGGAAAGCTGTGAGGGTGAGCTGTGCTTTGGTCTGGTTGCTTCCTGGAAAAATGTAGTTGTGACTTTGCACATTTTGGAAGGATTATTCCAAATAATATTTGGATATTTGGAAGGATATTCCTTTGATAGGTATTTATCACTATCTGCTTTAATTTTGCTGAGCCTTTGTTTCAGGCAGTTTAACAACATATGAGATGAGCACAAAAGAGGGTACTTATAAAAAATATCAGGGGTGAAAATGTGGCCTTTGCCTATTAGATAGCAGCTTCAATCCAGGTAGAACTCCTATACTGTATTTCACAGATGAAGTCTGAGCCTTCATAGTCTTGGGTTGCTATAAAGAACAAAGTGTCACTAAATGTAGTCAAAGGTCACTGGAGATATAGTAACTTTTTTTTTGTAGATTCTGAAGAATCTGCAGTTTGGAATCTTAACATTTTGGATTCTTCCCCTCTGTATTTCTTTCCCAAGCCAGAACTTGAGGGAAGAGGAGAAAAGAAAGGGAAAACACGAGGCTGCCTTTTGATGCATACCTTCTGTAGTGATTCTGCTGGGAGAATCTTCCTAATATTTAGTCACAGAATTATGGTTCTGATGTCAAAGCTTGGATGCTGCCACTTGTTTGTTTTCTCTTTTTTTTCCCCCATAGTAAAAAGAGTGCTGATACTGGCTTGTCAAGTTTTATGTGATAAAAGTACCTTGCCCAGAAACACCGTTGTGTTGTTTTATAGTCGGTTATAGCTAAATGATAAAAGGTAGTTTGTGAAGCTATTTCATTTTATCACTTAACATGTCACTGCTTAAAGACATTTTAATATTTTTCCATTGCACAAAGGCTATAAGCCCCGAACCCTTCATCTTCTCTTATTTTGTCAGAAGCAATAATAGTGAAAAAATTATAACTTATCTTCTCTTTTTTGGAAGAAGTGAGAAGGAAGAACTTTTTTAAGACTTCCATGTTTGGTGGACATATTGTCATCTTAAAGAACTGTCTTCCTGTGTTTTTTAGCAAAACTGAATAATCATTTCTGCAGTTTGAGCTGTGGGGTCTTGTTAGAGCCTCTGTAGTGAATATGGGGTTTTATGCTGTACAGTTGCAGTGATTAGAGCCAGGAGGGTTAAAAAATAACGGAAAAGAGAAGAGTAATAGGCATGGGAACACAAAATGTTTGTAAATACATAAGTGGAAAGCTTTGCGTTTTTGGAGGAACTTTTCATTCCTGATGAAACTAAGTGAAGAGCATTTGTGGTGCAGCGAGTACTCATGCTTATCTCCAATACATTTATTTTTAATGCTCATTTCTTTGTTTATGCTGACTGCTCAAAAGCGGTGTCTCTATCCCCTTTTTTAGGAGTGTAATCCTCTGATTTAGTCACCCTAATAATCTTGGTGATGCTTTTTTGCATCTTTTTTGCTTTTTTGCTTTTCAGCAAAATCTTTTTTGCTTTTCAGTTTTTGTAGATATAGTAGTCTGCTATGTGCCATATTATGCTGACTTGGTTATGGTTTTCAAACAGTATAAGCTTTCATATATCTTGGCAGTGTGTGCTAACTGTTTGTTTGTTAGGGCTGGGGGACCCGGCTTCCTTTTATGTTGCTGTGATTTTTCTTTTGAATGGATTAATGATGTCGCTGTTCTTCATATATGGCACATACCTAAGGTAAGGCTGCTGTGACTAAATTATTTAACACTGGTTGTCGGTTTTTGTTATAAAATCTTTAAAAGTGAAAAATAAAATGTTTTGATGGCATGTTGTTATTTGTTTGTGTTAATAATAGTGTATTTTATTACAGTATACATTGTCTTGAAGTTTTACTTGAGACAGAGAGGCTGGTTGATTAAAACTAATGATGGTTCTTTGCCTGAAGTCATATTGCATTTGATTCATTTTTAACTTAACTGAGAAGGGAAAATATTCTAAGTGAATGCATTTTTTTTTTGCAGGCATTTGTATACACTTCTCCTTTTCTGTGAATTCCTTGTTTCAGTTTCTGTCTTTAATTTTCAGGAACCATAATACACTGTCATATGAAAATAGGTTTTACAGAAAAAAACCAAACGGAAAAAAAAACACTTTTACAATTCTATTTTCATATGCCAGTGGTGCAAAAATGAAAAAGTGTGCTATATTTTTCTCTAAGAAATGTGAACTTTATTTCCCTTCCTTGCCTGGCTTCACTCTGCTGTGTTCTGTTCTTGCTCTCTCTGAAGCATGTGCTGATTCTGAAGAGAGCTGAAAGTTTGCACAAGGAATAGTGCAGGGCAGGAACCCAAGGTGGCAGTGAAAAGAGGAAGGTGCCAATGGAGGGCATTTAGGGGCATAGTTTGTCTGTTTGTGTTTCTTAATGCAGGGTATGAACACCTCATGCTTCAGGGAAGTAAATAAACTTTGAATATTAGTATCATTATTGTCAACCTTGTTTTAAGGAAGATGTTTAGAAATCAACATTTCATAGTAATGTCATTGAAAAATGAAAAGCCATTTTCTCTTAAATTCAGAGTACTGTACGTTGGGATGTGTTTTATATAAATATTCCTCTTGTAAAAAATATATAAAGTGTTGAAAGCAATTTAATTTTAAATACAAATGATCTGCAGTGTAGGTAGTTAAGGTGATTAGAATATAAATACAATTCTTCCAAGGTATAAGGCACTAGCTGACTAGACAGTTTCCTGCCTATAGTTTTATGGTGTTATGTATTTATTCTGAAGTCATAATTGGATGCCTGATTTAGATAACTGCTTAGTCCTTATGGCAGTTTAAAAGTTCCTCTTAGTTAAGGAACCCCAGGATAATTAGATGATTCCATAAGGTGTGAAAAAAACCAACACACCATTGCAGAGCCATCTAATTTTAATACACTGAAGTAGGTAACATACGTGCTGGCAAGTGGCAAGTCTCCTTCCTAAAACTGTTTTGTTTCTGCTATGGCTTTTGAAGGGCTTTTTTGTTGCATGAATTATTTGATCATGGGAGAATATAATATTCTAACATTTCATCCCTGAATTGGTTCTCAGCAATATCTCTGGTATTGTTGTGTGTAATTGTTCTTCCTCTACTTTTTCTCACCGTATGTGTTCATGGAGCATGTACTTTATTTTCATTTCAGCCTTTGCTTACTATTAATGTCCTCACAACCTTGATGAGGGATGGGAGGTGAAAGGATTGTGGAAGACCATGTTGTTGCCTTAGTTTTCCAAATTAGCATGTGCTCCCTGTTCTCTATAGTGAGCCTGATCAAGGAGTTAACTAGAAAATAGCAGAAAACTAGTTGTTTTGGTAGATTTTTTTTTCTGCCTATTTAGCTTCCTTGTTTAGTTCTCCACCAGATTAGAAGATTACCAGACATGGAAGTGTGTGGCCAACTATGAAAAGGGGCAGAACCATCCTTTTCACCAGCAGCTGATGCTGAGTTGGCTTAGCGGCAACATGAAACTGTAACTGTTGTTTATGGAAGGCGCTTGGGAATTTTCTAGTGTGATGCAAATTAGCGTCGAGCTCTGGAAAGGTCTGATAATTAACAAACAACATAGGTAATTGAAGCAGTATGCTGAGAACTCATGCTCCTTTCTGGACAAAGGACTTGCATTTGGATGATAAATATGGTATGAAATCTAAAGGTCTTTTACTGTTAGCAAATAATGTTTCTAGTTCAATCTTGCCTATGCCCCTCCCTGAAATATGCAGTGTATTTTCCTCTTCTGGGAAACGGTGCTGACAAGCATCACTATTTTTGCTTACACATTTTCTCATCTTTTCTCATGTAGTAAAATTCTGATCCCTTACAGAGGCCAATGTCTTTAAGGCACTCGCAGTACAATTAAGATCTAGCATGCCAGGCTTGAAGGTTTTGTCGGAAAGTTAACCGTTAGCATAATCCTTGAGTATTTTGTGAGCATGCATGCGTACATCCATAAATTTTTAGCTTGCTCTAAGACTTAAGATTAAAGAACATTGCTTTAATCATTCTGTTTTTCTGGGTTGATGCTTTCAGTATTTGTGGAACTAAAGGTTTTGTGCCGTGTGCAAGAATGCACGTTTCCTAGAGATTGTTCTAGCACATGGCTGATATCTTTAATTCTCAGATATTGTCCCCAGAAATCACTGATACTCTTTGACCTGTGTATTAGTGATGCGCGAAGGATCTGAGGGAATGTGAGCATATTTTAAAATATAACAGCTGGCTGACACTCTTGTTTAGTAGCAGAAGTGGTAGTTGATCTCAGATTTATCTTTTTATTTGCAATTTAACCTTTCTTGCACATTGCTATGGAGCAAACAATTACACAGATCAACGATAAGAACTTTGAAACTAACGAGCTATTTACTTTGCTTTTTGTGTTTTCTGACTAACTGTGCATTGAAACACTCTGGAAGGTTAAGTTTACTTACAATTAACTAGTCAGAATGATAAGAGATGTCTCAGCCGAGACAGATTTAAGAAAGTAATTCTAATAGATGAAGTCATGCACTGCTAATAAACAGCACCTTTTCAGTGATCTGACACTGAATGCCTGGACAAGAGAGTAAGAAAGGTAGGAATAGTTTCTTTTCAGATGCAGGTTTGGGGATTTTTTTTTCCAATTCTTAAGATTTATGGAAGTGTGCTTAGTTGCCTGTAGATTCTTTTATCATCAGACTCTTAAAGGGCTCAGGGTTTTTTTTTTTTTTTTTAAATAAACTTTTAATTGTAGAGTCTTCATCACTTTTATTTATATGGCCATTCTGTTTACTTTTCTGTCAAGTTAAACTAGAATCTTTGAAACAAAAGCAAGATGCACACCAGTGAAGCCCTAAGGCAAATACAATTCTTGAATACATAAATGCAGTAGCAATGTAGTAACTGAAAAATATATTATGGAGTACTTCAGCAGTTAGAGTTAGTAGTGCTATTGCACTTGCTCTTTCTCTCTCTTTAAATCAAATCACTTAAGCTATGCAAGATGAGTACTTATAATAACCGTACTGGCTTTCGCTTTCCTAACTTTAGAAGAGTGTTTGCATTTAAATGAATATCATAGCTAAAGGATGTTGTTTCTTTTAATCACCTTTTTTGGGGAAAAAAAAAAGTTTTTCTACTAAGTCACAGGTATCCTAATGCTATGGTGTGATGTGAAAGGGCCATGCTGTTATATGTCTGTGTTGTCATCCTCCTGCACAAATTAAATCTTACATATTATGTGTCATGCACACTCTTCCTGTATTATTTTAGACTGAGTACTGGCACTTCAGTATCAGAAATTTGCTTTAGTACACGGGAGGAACTATTGCTATTTTAAACTTAATTCTTTCTTAATGCATATATATTTTTCATTTCTTCCTTTCCTGCTTTCAAATATTAGCATTAAGCATACCATAGTTTTTCTTTTGAATATTATATAGTAATACTCTCTTTAGGTCTCATCCTATGGGATGCAGCATGAAATTCACTATTATACCTCAACTGTACTGTACTGTGGTTCTGACTGAATTTTATTTGCATGGTGTTATTTTGGCATAGAGCTGGAAAACACTGGATTACTCTTCTGTTCTTCTATTAGGCAAATTTTAAATCAGCAAGAGCTTGTTCAAGTAAAATGTGCATATTGCAAAATGGTCACTAACATGCAAATCTGGCAATAGGTGTTATCGGCAGGTTTGGGTTTTTTTGTGACTTTGTTTTTAAAATGCAATGTTCATTGCAAGCCTGTATTGTAAATATGAAGCAGTTTCCATGTAAGTAATTTATTTACAATTTTGAATTTTATGTTCCTTGTTGGCAGCAAAAATCAATGAGATGAATACTAGACCGATGGCTAGAATAAACCATACATTTATCTTATTGTTGCTGAATTTGTTGGTTGAAATGTGTGAGTTTACCATCTCTGAGAATTGGTGCTTTGTTTTCAGAGTATGTAGCATTTAAAAAAAAATCTACAATATATCAAGTGTAGAAATAAAGCTGGAATATCAGTGTAGAGGAGTAAAGGCACATTCTTGTTAATCACTGTAAAGCTTTTGGAAAAGCTAAGGTAGAAGAATATTGCTTGGGTGAAGGCAATGTTCTGTAAGGGAGAGAGCGACCTGAGAAAAGGCTGCTCTTTCCCACTTCCCCCTCCAGTTTTCCTGGCCGTTGCTATTCAAAGCCTACAGAGAAAGTGACAACATCTGTCTTAAGAGCTTAGACAGAGCTTAGAGCTAGCTGTGAAACAGACCTATCAAAAGCAGCAGGGAGAGGAAGCAGAGTTGAGGAAAAAGTAGGTGTGTGGAAAGGTAGCGAGAAGAATGCAGTGCCGGAGGTAGCAGAGAGAGATGAAGGATGCATTTTTTTTTTTTTTTTCCAGAGGTAAGTGAGCAGCATAGGAAGCAGAATGCTAGGCCACACTCGGCAGTCTGCAGGTGTGCATGGGAGCGAGCAGCACAGGAGGAATGCGGTGGCTTAGCCCTGCTACTGGATGTGATTATGGCTTTACAGGCTTTATCCATGTGGGTTAGGAGCCTGTAGCTCCCTCCAGGCCATCTCCATTCTCCTAGTGCTAGTCTGGAAAGGTGCACGTGGGGAAGCTTAGGGAGAGCAATGTCACCAGTTGGTAGGCTCCGAAGCAAAGGTGAGGTACAAGAGCTCCCTTCCGCTTCTTTCCGTAGCGAGTGGAAATGAGAGCACCCTGCGACGTGGGCTAGTGAGGATGGACTAGTGAGGAAATATGGGCGCACGCAGTTAGGACAGAGCACTATGAGCAGCTGGTATTTTACTTGCTTGTGCAGTGAGTCTGGGGAAGAAATCCTGGTTCACTTGTATGGACGGGATAGAGAAGAGGAGCAGTGTCTGTTCCAGCCTTGTGGCAAGAGGCAGGGGTAGGATACGCAGCACAAGTGCCGATCCAGTGCTCAAGGGCAGCTTTTAAGAGAGATCAGCTGCTATTAGAGTGCTGGCTCCTAATGCCCAGTAATGATTTGGTAATGCAGTCGCTTAGCAGTAGTGCCCTTGCTTGCAGAGAAATTTCTTTGCCTTATGCCTCGGAATATGGATAACTACAAATCTAGTCAAAACGGGAACCTTATCTAGTGCTGTTTTGAGGTGGGAAGAATGTAAGTGCTATTTTTCTTCTTAGCATTGACTCCAATGTGCTAATTAGTTGACAAGTAAACTTGATTTGTTCAGAAACCTATAAAAATCCTTAGGTCAAAGGCTAAAAAAAACCTTATGCCAATGTTACAGTATTTCATATAAGAATTAAATTGTATGTTACACTGGCTATGGTACATGGGCTCATGTTTAAGTATGTTTTTGAATTTGCCTGATTTGAATACCCTATCATAGACTTTGGTTCAGACCAAAAATTGCAAAGATGCCCGAACTTTGGATGATGAGGCATGCATCTTTTAAGGTCCCCTTCTCAACAGCTTTGGGAAGAAATATCCCATTTCTATTGCGTGGCATTCAGGAAAATGCTCAGCACTTACCAAATCCAAGCTATAAGTATGTCAAAATGAAGGCCATAGAGAGTAGGGCTCACTGCTATTTCTGATGCAGTGATCAAAACTGAAGTGTGTGACAGTGGTAACCATTCTGCTAGTTGTTTCTCTTGGAATTCTGAAATATTCTGCAGAAAGGAGCTGATCCATGAGGAATAGTCCGTTCTGAAATAAGCACTAGTTGACCAGCTAGTTCATATTTGTGTTGCATCCTAGATTGCTTCCCCTGGATGCATGAAATAATATTTTTCCCCCTATAAACTTTGAATACACTTGAGAATGTGGCCACGGATTCTAACTTCACTGTGTGTAGCCACATTTCTGAAGTAACATTGGTTATTACAAGATTTTGCTGTATTTATTTTTCATGTTCTTTTCACAGTGGGAGCCGCCTCGGAGGCCTCGTTACTGTGCTATGTTACTTTTTCAACCATGGAGAGGTAGGTCTCTCTTTTTTTCTTTGATTAAGCTAGGTGTCACTTCATTAGATATAGTGATATTGCTTGTCTATTCTGGGGTTGATAATTTATAGTACTGTCTAATGTGTCCTCTTAGATACAAAAATGAGATTTAGAAGGAAAACATTTGTATTCTGTTTGTCTGTTTGGGACATCTAACCAGAGTAAATACCATACTTGAGCTCTGATATAATTTCTCTGGACTAATTCTTTAATGAGAGATAAGAAACACTGAAACTAAGAAAAAATTAGTGTTATCTCGTCTAACTTGATTAATTAATGATCTTCTGCTAAACCTTGACTGATAGTGTTCTTATTATTATACCATCAGAATACTATCAAATTTATTGAAACCCTTCAGTAAGTCAAATTAAGTATGCTTTTATAGAATGTATGTGAAATTCCTTGAAACCTGTGTTTTAAAGAGAAGAAACTGTGAGGGAAGAAAATTTTATACCAATACATTTGTGCAACTGACATCTTAGTAGCACAGTGACTTTAAGTTTCAAAATGTCAGAAGTTTTTATTTCTGTCATTGCAAGTGTAACTGGACTAAATATACTATATGAACTGTATGAAAATGGGGATTTTTCTGTATATTACCATATGTTTTATCAGAAATTCATAAATATTAAAAAGGACTGTAGTACTACTTTCAAATGATCTACTGCTATATCTTGATATAATATGTAAGATTTATAAACAAAATACATATATACAGTAGTCTAATGCTAAACATATTTAGAAAGTCGTTTGAATCAGGAAAAGAAAAGAAAGCTTTCCACCTAGTATGTCGTCTTCTGCTCCCAGCCAGTGTTGTTCTTGTCAATGTTTTTGTGTGCCCTTGGGCAGTATTTTTCTTTCTCTTTTTTTTGAAATATGCAATCTATTTTATTTAAAATACAGCAGAACTGTGAAATTTGTTGTCTAGATGGAAATGAAATATGCTATGATTTTGTTAAGAGTTAAATCTCCATTTTGTTTTCTTAGTTTACTGAGATGAACTTTATAGAGATCTCTGAGTAGTAACAGAATATATCTGTACGTTATAGAATGAAAAATTCCTTTACTTAAGATAAGCTTTTGTTCCAAAACAAAAATTTTCTTGGTGAAATAACTAATTTAAAGTTTAATTCGAAATGTTTTTCTCTAATCCTTTGTGCAGAGTTTTTGTCTATGGATATTAACTGTCTGGAAGAAGTCAGATAAATGTTAGTGTTTCTAAACTTTTTTTTATGCTGTAAGTGCTTGCAGATTTTTGCATGGGTTTCCGTTCTTACTAATACCCTTCTGGAAGTGAATTCAATATTTTTATCGTTTGCCAGAAGATACTGCTAGAGCATATGCTGTTTTGCTGAACATGTGAAGGTGATAAACTGTAGCTTTGCAAAGGAGCAGGCTGGAAGCATCCAAGATACTGGTAGCAATATTGAAGCATTTGCTTCACTGTGGTGCAGTCAGTTCTCTGACATGGGTGGCTGGACTTGGGGAGAAGACCCAGATCCTGCGGGTATTTGGGACACGGGCATCGCACCATGCCGATAGGGACAGCTGTCCTGGGGCTTACGTGGGGCCTCAGGATGGCAACTGATTGAGTCTCACCTGTGGGCTGAGATTTCTGGGAAGGAAGGAGGGCTTTACAGCACCTCGTCAGGTAACTCTGGGAATTTGGTATGCTGTTTGGTCTGTGGGAATCATTTTGCATGTGGAGTGAGACTGTTTCCTGCAAGACTGCTTCCTGTAACTCAAAGTAGAGGGCTGAGCTGCAAGACTCTGCTTGGCTGGCGAGTCTTGTTAGCTCAGACTTCATGCGCTGTGAAAGAGGCTAACCTGGAGTTTAGCTGCAGTATGTTTTGATTTGTGTGCTTGTGTTTAATATGTTTTAACGATGGCAAACCCAGGGAAACCTGATGTGCTTATACTTGCAAGAAAGCTAGTTTACATACTTGGTAACCTATCCACCCATGATTTAGTGTTACTTTCCAAATATAGATAAATAACACTGGTCGCACTAGTCTATATGCTTTTCCAAATATAGATAAATAACACTGGTTGCACTAGTCTGTATGGTAAAGGTAAGGTAAAGATTCATTTTTATGGTTGTAAATCCTCACCATTTCCCTCCCCCCAACTTTTCTTTTTTCCTATTATCAAATATTTGATTTATTAATCAAATGTTGCTATACTCTTGAAAAATGAAAAATATAATCCTGATAGTTCTAAGACAGTGTAGTCTTTTTGTCAATAACTTTTTTAAGTAACCATGTCTTTCAATCAGCTGAAGAGAGCATGTCACCTTTATATTGATGAAAAGCATGTTTTAATAGCCCTCAGGATGCACATGTTAGAGAGAAGCCTGTTAGACTCTAAGGTTTACGTTTGATAAGTGTGACTGTCTTCTTTCTATTTATTTTACACTTTTAGTTTAAGATTTATAAAGTAGCAAACAGTAAACAGTGAATGTTGCAATACTGCTTCTCATGAACTTCTTTGGTGAAGCAACACTAAAAATGTTTCTAATGTTATGGGAATCGGAAGGGTTATCTACTTATTGAGCTCAATCCCTGCTATCTGAACATTGCATGCTGTCAGCTCTCATAAATATATCATGATCCATGTTAGAATGAGTAAGTTTTTATGCTGTAGTAGCGAAGAACTTTCTTGTGACTTTTAGCCTGAATCTCTTGATGATCATTCTAAACCCATTTGTTTGTATGTTGACCTCTACTAGAAACATTTTTTCCTACAATGCTTATATCATAAAATATTTACAGACACAATGTTATCCCCTGTCAGGCTCCATGTAAGTTTTTTGGAGTAAGCAAAACCCTTCGATGTTTCTGCTCTTCAGACAGGATCTCCAGGATCACAGTTCTGGTACCAGTTCTGTTCCACCTCTTCTAGTTGATCTTCCCTGCAGTTCGTGAACAGTTGTCTTTTCAGCAGTCTTCTCCAGGGCTTATATTACCATCCATCTAGGCATTTTCCTTTCAGCTGAAGTGTGGGGTTTTTTTTAATGATTACGCCTATGCTTAATTGGTTTTATTTACTTATTAGTTCATTTATTTTTTCCACTGTCAGTCTTGAATTGAATGTAAAAAAATGATGTGCAGGGATTTATGTTTTTTTTGTTTTTGTTTTTACCATTTGAATTGTTTTATTTGTTCTGGAATATATTGTACTAACTGATCACAGATATGACACAGGCATGAATAGCATTTCAGATTATGAAGGAGAGTAATTTTAGGCTCCTGCTGGCAGTGCTTACGTGTTTCCTGGCTGCAGCCTCAGTGACACTGATCCTGCAGAGACAAATCACTTAATAATGAACAAGGAGAATGGGCAATACTGTTGCGTAGAACAGCTTTATGTAAGAAAAGCTGCAGGAATGTGTAGTTAGTCCTTCAAAGCATACTGAGCAATCTTGCAAGAAATGTTGAGTGCAAAACTGTAAGCATGATTCTCTCTGTTGCAAAGGTACATAAATACAAACCAGATGATGGTAAATAAATGAGGTAAATACAAAGATGATTTTTCAAAGTGTTTCTTTTTTTTTTTTTCCCTAAATATTAGCAGAAAACCCCATATGTGATAGCTACATAGTGGGAATCCAAGCTTTTCTCCAGCTTTGTCATGGATTTTAGATGATTGTATTTCCTTCATCCAGACTTGTGATTTTTTACAACAGTTTCTATATGAAATATAATATTCTTTGGATCAACTGTTTATGCATCTGAATGAACATTCTATGTAAAATTGAAAAAAATACGAGCCATTATTTGTGTAGATATATTAATTGAAAATGGAAATGGAGTGCAATGTGCTAAAACTTAAAGTTTAGTAGTTTTTGATGGTAAGCACCATCTCCAAATCTTTCAGGAAAAATTGAATATGAAGAGTGAAGATGACAATTAAGTATCCAAGCTGTTTGCCATGGACCCCCCAAAATTAATGAAAAAGCTATTCAATGGATCTTGTTTCATTTTTCTTTGCGTCATTAGGGTTAAAGAGTAAAGGGTATAAGCCAGTATAGCTCTGGAAGAGCTTAGACTCATTGCTGAATTTAACTGGCTGACAGGACAGCTACAAATTTTGTGCTTTCTATGTTGTTGCTGCTGGAAATATAAAATGCTTATAGCCTAGAGAACTCTAGCATAATGAAGAGTAATGAGGAGCGTGTTGATTTATCCTTCACATCCTCTTGCCACACGCTCTGTCTGTGGCAAGTTACTGCCTGAATTTCAGAATGGTTTTGGTTACCTGAATGACTTTGGTTACCTGAATTTCAGCAGAAACGTCAACAAGCAGCCACTTTCATGACCTTTCTTCTGTGATGCTACCTAGCTGTAACATATAATTTTGGAAAAGCAATAATCTCTTTAAATTTTCATATTTCAGGAGAATGAGCCTACAGTAACAGTCTGAAAAAAACAGTACATCGTAGACTTCAAATCTGAAAGCTGCTTCCTTTGTCCTTCCCTTTTCTGCTTCCTAGTATGTTGCTTTTTTAGCTTACGAGTTAGAAGCTCATCTTGTTTGGTTTTGCTCTATTGAAGTGTCAGTAGTCCTTCACTTTGAAAAACAAATGCATTGCTTTCTGGAAATATAGCAGCAAGCATCAGCTAACCCACTTCTTATTTTTAGTGTACTCGTGTCATGTGGACTCCACCTCTTCGTGAAAGTTTCTCATACCCATTCCTTGTTCTTCAGATGTTGCTTTTGACCTATATTCTCAGGTACCTTTCAGTTTATACTTAGCTATTTACAATTATTTTAAAAATGAATGTCACAGGGCATTATTTGAATACTATATTTTGCAAATTGGGTCTTCGTTGTGCATTATCAGTTATTACTAGTTCCAGTGCCCTTGTATGCTGCAACAGTGGTATCGTTAGCACAGAAACTTTCTTGTGACTGTATATAGAGCAGACAGTGCACCAGAACTGCAGTCATATTACTCATTTGTTAAGAGGCAGAGCAATACAGTTTCAAGATTTGCTGGCAAATGCATATGTGAACTACAAATCCGAATTGTCAGTGGACTGCTCCCTAATGGGAAGCTGTCCACTGATATTCCATTGCCTTAGTTTTGTTCCTCTTAAAGAGTGTTGGTTTGGTTGCACTTAGAATATGACTATGTTATGCAATAGAAGATGCTATAGGTACCTATACGTATGCTCAGGCAGCTCTCTATGAGTTTGAGCTCCAGCTTTTAGAGCAGTCTCATTACATTAATGCAAGGATGCTCTTGAGGTCATATGCCTTGCTTCACAGTGGTTGCTTTTAGCTTGCAACTTGCTTAGGTGACTATTTTGCCTCTAATTTGAAAAATAAGCATGATACTTGAGGGTTTTTTTGCCCAGCTCCTTGCTTTTAGATTCTCGGTGTGCTTGTGATTTCACTCAACTTTGTATTTGCACCTTAGATTTTCTTTTTTCAGATCATGCTGATTTGTGGTCATTGATGATTAAAACAAACCTATATTTTACTAACCTCTTATTTTTAGGTGGCGCTAAAGATACATACTGTCTAGAAAAATATTTTGAGCAGCAGTTTATAAACTGCTTCTAAATGGATTCTGTATTAGAATGGCACCTATTCATGTAATGCTTATTTCTAAAGTGTAAGATCAAACAAAAAGATAAAAAAAACCCTGCCTTTTCAAGTTAGGGCAATCAGAGTGTATGCATTCTGCACCTATAATTATGATGCTCCTTGATTCTCCTGTTCTTCAAATTTTGCTATATATAAAATAGTGCTAAAGCTTACTTGCCTTTGAGAAGTGGATATTTAAGATAAGCATTTCAGCACCTGGTCCTGAAAAGATGTTAAAATATTTTAAGATTTTGAACACTTTCTGGTTCTCAATTATGGTTGCCACTTCAGGAGCAGGTTTGCTTTAGGTATAGCAATCTGTTACTGTAATACAGGAACCCTCTTTGGAACACAGGCTAAAACTTAAATACTACTTTTAAGTAAAACACTGCTTTTGAGTAAAATAGTAGTCTCATGCTTAGTTTGGCTTCCAGTATAGGTTAATGTTGAGGCTTTCTAAGAGAACTGATGAATAATATTAGAGTTTATCAAGAATGACATAATCTGTTGTGTTTGTGGGATTTTGTTTGTTTGCTTTTGTTTTCAGCAGACTTATGATCTCGTCCAGTGGAGGCCATGTAGTAAAATTTGCAATGGCATTTGCTTCAGAAAAAAAGTCAAAGCTAACACAGAAATAAGTAATTAGCACTCTTACAACACTTAGAGAATATGCTTTGTTGAGTTAAAGATGTTTCAATTTTGGGAGATGGATAACTGTTAAAGAGGATTTCAAGAGCTTCTTTTATATTTGTTTTTCTCTCCTGCTCTGAAATCTTCATCCCCAGAAGGGACACTGGCAAAAAGTTGCAGCAAGTTCATATGGAAAGAAACGTGTGAAATAGGATGTTAGAGGAATGCAGTCGCTATCAGATACAGACCATTCTGAGAATATTTGTGAAAGAGATGGACGTGACATGATTGTTAAGTTATTACAAGGAGCTGAACCTCTGCACGAGGCATAGTTCAGTCTGGTATATTACATGCTGCCAAGAAAAGATATGTCTGGTAGATAGTCACTCTTCAGTAAGATATTCTTCAAAACTATTGAAGCTACAGATTTTGGAAACTGATGGAAAATTGATACTAAATTTGCTTCAGCTATGTTATCTATAGAGGATCAATACTGCTAGCTAGTGTTCAAGGTAACCTTGTTTTTATTCTGTTCTCTGCTGTGCTTTTGGATAATATGCTTTTGGATAATAAGTAAGTCTGTGTAGTTTAACTTACTGATACCTATTCTGTCTCCTTTTTCCCAAGGATTCCGAATATTAATACAGGAAGCTTGATTGCACTGTGTGTTTCTAATGTCTTTTTCATGCTTCCCTGGCAGTTTGCTCAATTTGTTCTTCTAACACAGGTAAGATCGTATGCAACTTCAAATAGCATCTTTGAATTATTTAGGCAGATTGACTGTGTTCTACAGACAGGCACTGAATTTACGACTGTGCTGATGGTTTCCTTTTAGCCAGACTTTACTCTCACTCTTAGCATAGATTCATACCATTTGTAACATCAATACTTTTGCTAGTGGTCTTAAAAATTTAAAAGTTGACCATTTACATCACTCAATTTTCAGTTTCCAGGACTAAACAATTTAGCTTTCACTTAAAAGCAGCCTCCAACCTAAGACAGGTACATTAGAACAAGTGCAGAATAAGAGAAAACTTTGCAAATTGAATTACCAAACAAATTAAATAGTCTTGTGCCACTTCAGGGTATACAAAATTAAACGCAGTCTTTAAACAAAGCATTTTTTTTCCATGGCATGTAAATATCTAGCATGATTTTGCATGATTTTGATGATTCTGAGTAATGGCATGATTTTACGGTCTTAGAGAAGCCAGATGGTTGGGGTATGGTTAGTATTTACTATATTTCAGCACTGGCTAATGTGAGCAAGAGCGTACTGACATGCAACACTTTTCCTTAGTATTTATTTTGATTGAACTGTAGCCTGTAGTTCAGAATCCAAGAATATCCCTTCGCTTTTTTATCCCAGTCAAAGCTGATACTGCTTGGTTTGAGTTGATAATTTTGAACAGTTCATTCTTCAATATACGTGTTTTCTAACTGAAAAAGAGGAAGCCATAGAGATATATAAAAATATTTTTAGAGAGCCTATCATTATAAAGTTGTAATTATTTTGGTTTTGATTTGGGAACAGTAAAACAAGGTGGGTAGACACCTGTTTAAGATTCTGGGCCTGAAATTTGAAGCTATGGGCTCAATTCATGAATTCATGAATTTCCTGTTTTAGTTTAAGCAATCTGCTTAATCACCGAATCTTATTTTCCTCATTAGCGAATTTTGGATGTTTCCGTGCTTCGCTTAACTGTAATATTTCAGCAATGTTAATTAATACTTTCTACAACATAGTACTAGAATAATATATTTTACCTTTGCTTTAAATGTCTTTTTTTTTTGTAAAGCTGAAAAATTATTTCTAAAATATTCAAATATATAGTTGTAAAAATTGATGTATGATTGTTCACAATTAATTTTTCTGCAGGAATACATATAGAGAGAGTCCAGAGCATCACTTTAAATTGTTTTAACTATCTTTCGCTTTTGATTCTAGATAGCTTCTTTATTTGCTGTGTATGTTATGGGTTATATTGACTCCTGCAAATTACAGAAGATACTCTCTGCTCATATGGTAATTTTTTTTTCTTTTTAAGCTATCAGCCAGCTTAGAGCCTCAAAAGAAGTTAGCTGTCTTAAATGTTTTGCTTAGTTATAGGATGATTGAACGAATGCAGTAATAAGGGATGGAGGGGCCTGCGTTTGAGCCGTTTGATCTGACATAGGCTTAGATCACAAAGACAGAAACTAGAATTTTTTGGCACACCAGCATCTTTGAACTCAAGAAAACTAACAGCTTACAAGAATTGTGGGAATACTTGTCTCTCTTTCCTCCCACCACCCCCAAGCTTCTTCTATGAATTTGAAGATAATGTCTCAAACAGTAAGATAGAAAATATAAAAAGTAATAAAGTACTGGAAATGCAGTATTCAGCTCATCATCTTTCATGGTTAGCAGAAACCCAAATGGAAATATTAGCTAGTCAAAAAGCTCTTATTAAAAGAAAAGAACTACAACTACAATCAAGTTGTGAAGATTGCAGTAATCTTAAGTATGTGAAGATATTATGGTTGAATTATTTGGGGAAAGTGTGTGTGTGTGTTTTTATATATATATATATGTATATATATATATATGTATATAAAAGAATTGTTAAAGAAGAAAAATATTTGTCTGATGAGAATGTCAACAAAGGCTGTGCCATAAGGCACTAATGTTGAACATAATATATCAGATTTTCATTTTGCAAGTTAAGATAATGCTAACTATTTGCTACAAGTTTCTTTGAGAGAGTTGATTATCTTAAATATACAGAAAGAAGTAAATTTTTATGGAAGAAATATGTCTGTTTTTAAAAATAGGTTTTTGCTTAAATTGTTCTAAGGCAACTCAGTGGGCAAAAAGAGAATGTCTACCACAGCATATGTGCTCACGATGATAAAATACTCTAGATCATAAATAAAAGACAGTAGTAAGCTCTGAACAACTCATTTCTGAAATAAAGCAGAGATGCCAAATGGTTGTTTCTAGACAGACTTGTCAGAAAAATTTGCAAATAAGCCTCTTGGTTTAGTAATTTTTTTGTCAGAAACAGGATGAAATACTTATGACTTGCTGTCAAGAGACATCATAATTTCGCAGTCAGTATCATAAAAGGTCCAATTTCAAATATGCAAGTGTGTGATGTTCTACAGAAAATTTAGTGAGCCTGGCTAAACTGCCAGTCTCCTGTGGCTTTGTTTGTCTCTTTTTTTTTTTTTCACTTTTCTGTGGAATATGAGGAAGTCTAACCATGAAAAATGATTTAAAAAATTCAGAAGGCTGCATATTTTACAAATAAATACATTATTTTACCAGCAAGGAGGAGAAGGCCCAAATGTTGACCATTGATACAGCTTTCTAAATTCAAAAGTTTGATTCATCTTGCTTCCGCTTAGAAGAACACTGAAAAATTAGAACAGGCACAACAGAAAATCAAGACACTGGATAAAAGTTGTATTTCAAGCTAGGACTTTCAACATTATTAGCTGACATATGTGTATATGATGGAAGTGTCAGATTAGAATTCAAATTACAATTTTGCTTTATTGGATTTGGTGATGGTTATATTTTAGTGTGTAAGAAATAAACAAAAATATTTCTTCAAGATTTCTCTAGTGTTCTGAAAGACAACAAACACTATAATGATATAATTTGCAAGAATGTTTATATTGGGAGTAACTTTTAAAATGTAACTGGGATACCATATAAAAGAATTGGTCCTGTGGTCAAATCTTTTTGTCCAATTGTGCTTACATTTTAATGTAAGCTACTATAATATTCTACATTTGGCTACCTTGTAACCAGTGCAACCTTATAATTAGTGTTTTCAGTACAATTCACACAGCTGGGTATGTAGCTTGCATTTTCTGTGAAACAAGTTTCTCTAAATTTGCATTTGTTAAAAAGCAATTTATATACTTAGACTTTTTTTTTCCTATTTTAAATCTAATTGCTTTTTTTATTTCAGGTATCACTTGTAGTGTGTTTTATACTGATGTTTGGTAATTCAATGTTATTGACATCCTATTATGCTGCATCTTTAGTAGTTATCTGGGTAAGTTGTTTGAGAAAGAAATCATAAGAGATACTAAGAATATAATGCTGTATTGTTATTTAATGCGTTGATGTAAAATTGTTGCATTGCCAAATAGTTCAGAAAGATTGTTTTCACTTGGTAAACAGGTTTAAACCTTTTAAGACCTTGGAGGTTGACTAAATACTACTTTTTTTTCAACTCTGCATCACGACTCCTTCATAAGGAAACTGAGTAGGACTTGACCCTCTTCTTTTTATAAATCAAATTTAAATTGTAGAAGACACCTTCATAAAATGCTAGCCCTAAACAATTAGAAAAAGAGAATAAGAGCGAAGGATTTTTTTTTTTTTAAGATGTGTGTATATTGCTTGGGAAACTGCAAATACAGGGTAACTGACTAAAACACATATAATAATGGTTTAGGACTATTTGAAACTGCTGAGCCCAAGTTGTGAAATCATCTGTCAAAAACTCATAATCCCATTATCATCTATCCTCATTTATGCATAAATAGGAAAAACAATCCCTAACTTCTTTTGGTTTCCTATGGTTTCTCTTAGAGGAGTTTTGTACATGGGAAATGGGAGATAATATTCATTGAACTGATCTGGTTTAGTGTGCTACTTTCATCTCCTTTTTTTTTTTTTTTTTTTTTATTGTTTGTCTGTTGTTTTGGGTTTTTTTTCCCCTATTTATATAAGCTCCCTCTCCTAGGAGCTTATGGTGAGCTCAGTGAATCTCCTTCTCTCTGTATTTTGTCTTTCAGTAAATGAGTGATAATTTCTCACATATGCTAAGAATAAGCAACCTTTGCTTCTGGCAGTTGCTGTATAGTTTGGTTGTTATGAAAAAACCTCTGTGGTATACTTAGTTCCTGTAAAAGTATCAACTTTTGATAATGAATATAACTACTCTTGTATTTATAGTATATTTATAAATGGAACTACTATATTGAATTTATTGCCTGTTTTCTGCTTAGGAGAAATTTTTATAATTTGCCTATAATTGGAGTGTTTGTAATAGACTCGCTCTTATTGTCCCATAAGGGCTAGGTTACTAGAAGCTATGTTCAATCTCTGTTTCTCTTACATTTTTCATCAAATTAGCTTAGAGTGAGTCTTCCTTTTATCCCAAGACAAGGAACAGTGTGTGAAACAGAGGGGGAAAAAAAGTTACTTTTCTTTTCCCCTATATTCTGTTTCCTTCTTTGAAAATAGCTTTCTTTTGAAAATTGCTAATAATTATTCAGTTCTTCAGAGGTCTCCTGTCATTTGTGGAAACGGATGTAACCCTGTGTCTCTTTTGCCTTTGATTTAAAGCAGCTTGTAACTGCCTAATACATAATTTTCCTTGGTAAAGGGAAGAGTAGTCTTCATTCTATGTGAACAGCAGTAGGAGTTCACCTATTAGTGAATCTGATGTGTGCGGGGTGAAACTGTAAAATATATTCTTTTTTATTTCAGATTTTGTTGATTTTTTTTAATAGTTGCATGGTATAAGTTCTTACAGTTTCCAGATTATTGTTTTATTTTAGTAAAATGTTGTGGCTACCACACTTGACCTAAAAATACACATTCTTTTTATTATTAGGGAATTCTTGAGTTGAGTCCAAAATTCTTGAAAATGAGCAGAAGAGCAATCAGGTTATGGGTAAGGATTTTGATATATTTCAGATCTCAGGGAAGGACTATTAATTTTATTTAGTTTACTTGGTGTTTATTTATTTATTTATTACAAAATAATGAAATTATATCTAGTTTAGTTCCATGTGTTTGAAAAATTAGAAATACAGCTCAACTGCTGAATCCAGGTAAATTGTCCGTATTCCTTAAAATAATCCTTTACTTCAGGAAAAGGAAAAATGGGACAAACATTTATTTCATGAAATTGAAATAACACTAATTCTATGGCAACACTTCTGATTTTATACTCCCACCTTGACATATTTACCACTACCTTGAAAATAAAGGAAAGAATTTCTAAACAATCAGTTTAAAGGGTAGCAGTGCTTGCAGATAGGGAGATTAAGATACTGCATTAGAGGTTCACTTAAACGTGTCCTGTATTATTTTTAGTTTTTTTTTTTCTTAATAAGAATAAGCAGCCTATAACTAAACAGGATATGATTGCAGTTAATGTTTAGTTTATGGTTTATTACAGTTTCTGATGCCCTTGCGTTACCAGCAGCAAGTACCTTCCAAAAATTTAGGTTTGTTTGCAGCTGCTAAATATGATGACTGAATGCAACCAGCATCTGTATTATCCCTCTGATTATGTTAAAGAAAAGATCAGTTTATATTTTGTTGCTTTATTCTCTCTGAAAACATCTGCTGCTGGTATCTCAGATACAAGATACTGAGCCAGGTTCACCTATTCAGCTCAGTTGATTTTATAAAAAAAAATGAGGACAGCTTCAGTTAGATTGTCTAGAGTTTTTTTACATCATTCTAGTGTAGGATAAACCTAATATACAATTTATAAATTGTATTTTATTTATACTTCCATGAATTTATAACCGATATTTGTCTTGAGCAGATACTAGTTCCTCCAATGGTTGGATTAGTAGAACATTACAACCTCGCAACGTTGGAGGTAGAAAATAATTCTACCACCTCAGTGTATGCAAGACAAATAGAGTTCAAAGTTAGGCTGCCCCTGTTTAAAGGCAGTTTAGGTATCTCCTCTAGTGCAGTGCAGTAGGTGGTAATACAGCCATAATGTGAAATAATTGTGCAAAAATGATTTCTGTTGTAATTGGAAAAAGAAAAAAAAAACACACCCCATTGCATTCTGCTTGGTGAAGCAACTAGAAATGGTTACACTTCTTGGTGATGACATTGGAGAAGTTTTAACTGTTTAGTTTAGGCTTTATTAAACTTCCTTTGAGACATGTCTATATCATTCTGAATATATTTTTAAGGTCATTGAAGGATGTGCCTGGATAGTTGGGACAGTCACCTTGAAATATCTGACTTCTTTAGCATTTGGAATATCGGATGATGTAAGTGTTCTTTTTTCTAGCTTAACATCTGGTGTTTTAATTTCTTTTCAGAAAGCTGTCTGCTATTGCATAACACTTTCTGAAAGTACTATTTTCTTAGTAGATTTATGTGACAGTGATGCTTATGATAATATTTTATATGATAGCTCCTTCATGATTCTATTTTCTTTCCTTTTTAAATTAAATGAAACTGAAGTGGGAGTTAGGTTAAAAACTGTCACTATTTTGCTGGTGATGTATAATAGTGAGAGAAGGTAAGTTAGCATATTAAAAAGGAACTTTACCTTAGCCTAGGAAAACGTATGCCCAATAAGATATTTTGGGCCCATCATTTTTATCTTCTCATCTTTTGCGGTAGTTTCTCATTTCTTATTTTACTTTCCTGTGAAGGTAACTTTTAGGAAGACTGTTTTGAAATTGTTGTTGTGATTAGAACTCCTCATTCCACTTTAGTTCTTTTATTATCAGATTCTACTGTTTAGACCTTGTCTGTGCAGATGCTACATCAAGGGGCAAAAAGTGGCAAGCTTTTATATCTTAAAATGAGTGTACAAAACCATGCTCTTGCTGGGCCCGCTCCCAGTAATAATGCCCCCGCCCCCTTCTGCCACTTTTCACTTTTTATTTTGTCCAAGTACTCTTATATGTGAAGACTTCATTTAATCCCCTTGAATAAATTTTGGTGCTTTTGTCCCAATATTGTAAATTCTATAAACTGCTGTTCTAATTAAGAATCTTTACATTTCAACTCCTTCACTGCTGAACACCATCCTATTTTTACTTACAACTGCTTTTGTCTTTTATTTTCTACCAGGCTCATATAGGCAATCTATTAAAAGCTAAATTTACTGGCTACAAGGATTTTGATACATTAATGTATACCTGTGCTGCAGAATTTGACTTCATGGAAAAAGAGGTAATCTAATCAAATTGGACCACTGTGGGTTTGGAATTTTTTTTGGTATCAATTTGTAATTTAAAACATCTGAGAGCCATATCCTGCATTTTGTTTGTAATTCAAGAGGTTACTAGTGAAGTTAAAAGGCATAAATAGACCTAAGCTGAATTTAACTAACTTTATTACTTTTAAATGGATGAAAAATAAAAGAATATTTTGAAAAGAATATTTTGATTTTAGTTCTAGAAAATATGCTTGCTTGAATGAAACTTGTGCTGGTTCAAGGGCAAGTGGAAATTTACAGTTTTGCGAACTCGAGATTTTATGTGAATATCAGTAACTGCTGTTGAGTAGAGGGGGAAAATGTGATTAGATTAGCTATAGATTAGCTGTAAAGGTCCTATGTGGTGGATTTAGATTACAGAGGAGCAGTGATGCTTCTTAACTTGCTGTTAGTGAACTTGGGTAATTAATTAGTATCTAGATATGTATTCAGAAATTTTATAGATTCCTCCAACCATAGTACTCAAATTCAGGTGGTGTACAATCTACTTCTACCTTGAAGGAAGCTTGCCAAAGAAATAGGAAACATTTTCGCATGACCCTAGAATAAAACTTCCACTGACATTTCTAGATAGAGTTGAAATTTTTGTCTCTTAAGTTTGTTTTGTTTTTCTTTTATGTTTAAATTTACATTTGCCTGCCTTGTTATTATTTTCTTTAAAAAGATCATTGTAGTACTTACAGATGTATGGAAGGCAATTAATACAGTTATTTCCGTTATAGACTCCAGTGAGATACACAAAGACTCTACTACTACCAGTTGTTCTAGTGGTTTTGATCGTAATCATTAAAAGGGTAAGTGATTGATTTAGTGAGTGACCTTTACCTTGATTTTACTTTTTAGGGTTTTTGGACCTTTATTTATATTGAGGTAGGAGAAAACTAGATTAAAATTACGATTCTATAAAAATATTTGCATAAATGTTGTATTCTCTTTTTTTAGTTTTTTTCAAAAGTGCAGTCCTGCAGTCAGTGGCAAAACTTGATTTGAGGTCGAAGTGCCAAACACAAATTTCTGTCCTTTAGCTGAGGAGAACTGTAACCATAGTTTATAACTATTTCTGTAGATTTCATTATGTGTAATTTGTGTAAAAACAACTTACAGTTTACCCAAGAACAGATGGGATAACTGAAAACTGCCTGACTAATTAAACATTCTAACAAAGAATTTTTAGCTAAAATATTGCATGTTTTAATCTTAGCATAATACCAGCATGAATTTGCCCAGTTGAAATTTAATTTTGCAAATGTTGAAAATGCTTTAGAATCCTTTTGAAAGATTATTCATTCCCTATGGTGGTTTTCATTTTCTTCAGGCAGTTAAATATCTCGTGTGGACTTTATCTCAACAAGGTCAATGTGAAAGGTAAATGTTGTTGTCTTTTTGAATATAAAGTAGAATTTACTGCTGAAAGGTTATTTGGTTTAATATATGCTAGATAATTTGAATTCTTTATTGTGTTAGTCCTTTTTGAAGTGTAGATTATTTGCAGCTCAGTAATTGAATGTCTTAGTTAACTGAATGCACTATTTATGATGTTTTTATAGGATGTGTACAATAGGTTTAGCTACTCAAATTAAGTTTTAGAAGAGTTTAGAGTCAGAGTTTAGGCATCCTACCTTTCTTTCCTAATATTTTCTTCTGCTGTATGTTCTTAAACCAATATTTATTTATGCTTCTATTTCTTTCTCTCTCTCAAAAAAAAGCGAATCCAAAAATGCCCCCCGCCCCTTTTTTTTTCTGGTGTTGTCAAGATACTTGAATTTTATCTTTAGAAAGCCATCCCTATCATATTCATTTTATTTACTAAATATGGGTAATGCTTGCTCTATTATCTGTTTGGCATCAGTTGTCGATATAAGGCTCAAGCATGGTGAATTTGACCGGCTGAGTGTTGTTTGTTTCCCCAACATCTTTTGCTGCATTTTCTTTCTATTTATCTCTAATCATTTCAGTGCTTTCCATAGTCTAATGGTCTTCATAAAAATTTCAAGAGGCGTGAGCAGGATTCACCATCCTGTCCTCACATGTTTTAGCAGGACAGCAGTTACGCATCATTTTGATTATATTCACATTTGTATTTCCTTCTAAGAACCTAAGGACCAAAACTATGGTAACTGAGTAAGTGCTTGACTCTTTGGTGACAGTGCTCTGCATCTTTTATGCTAGCAAGGTATTCTCTAAATAAGCTGTTCCGTATGTGAAATAATCCATGGAAATAATTTAAAACTGCTAAAAATAGTTTTCAAATTGCAAATAGACAGAGGCTTAGGGGAGGATAGTTACTGATTATAGGAGCTGTGCGGGTGCTGAGTGATGCTTACCAGGCTAGTTCAATTGCTGAGAACTGTCATAGATGCTGCTAACATGAAATAACTGCTTCTGTATGGTATAAACCAATAATTCCATTTTCTGTTTTCCTTTTTTTATTCAGAGAGGAACGTTTTAACCACGGTGAGGTAGGACTCATTCTGTAAAGTTATTCTCCTATGATAATGTGAATATTCAATATTGAAACACATATGTCCGTGTTCTAAGGCCGATACATGATTATTTGAAGCTAAGTATTCACATCTACCTATATTTCCTTGTTCTATATTGGATGCAGTGTATCACCAAAATAGTGCAATGTTGAACAACAAAAACAAAAGTACTAGTTAATGGTGAGGGGAATTGTGCAGGAGAGAAATCTCCTGGGCTTTTGCTGTAGATGCACAGAGCTCGATGATCTTAAGCTTGGCCTTTCAGCTTCCCCATACAGACTGAGAAGGTAAATGGTTACTATATGGAGTCTTGTGGTATAGTTTTCTGTCTGTGGTGACACAAAGCTTATCTCTGACAAGTAATCTTTTTCAAAATTTCCCTTTAAATATGTCGCAAGGAAAATAGTTCTACAGATGGTTCTTTTAATTAATAAAATTACCTAAATAGTATATTTGAATAGTAGCTTTCTTTTGTGATTTCCTTTTTATTCGCAGTTAAGATAGCATGGATAGTGCAAAATTTTCTTAACAGTTAATGTGGTCAAAGATTGCAAGAGAAGCTTTTTATAGCCTTTCTAACCCTTTTTGACCTTCATACCCATTTATTCAAATTTTTTAGTAGGAAACCTATTATAAATCTAGAGCAGAAAAAGGAAACAACTCACTGAAGATCAGTTTTAAATATGTACATGGTGGCATTTGGAAAGCCAAATACTTCATTAAAGTGTGAAACTACTGAATTACTCTAATTAGGAAAAAGATAACTATAGAGTGATATATCAAAAACACTGGATCAGCTTTGCAATAATTTAATCAAATGTGAAGGAATGAACTCTCACTTCCCATGCAACCCAAGGAATTCCTGAAGAGCTTCTATTTTGTTTTTGGGAATCTTAGCGGTTTATCGTGGATTGTGCTATGAGGAAAATCTCATGCAATTCAAAATTTTTTAATCGATCATTTGGATAAGGTATCTTTGCAATCAATCCCTAATGTTTAATGACAGCACTTCCACAGTAGCACAGACTCAAGTGTTAGGAGTGTTGAGTGATGACTCTGCTCGTGGAACTTTCTAAGCTTCTCCTTTGGAGAATTCTAACCATTCCTGTGGCTGTGTGATTATTGGGGGTGATTTTAGTTCCTTCTTTCATTTCATGCTTGATAAGTGTTCTAGATATTAAGGAATAAAATCTACTCACTCGGGTAAAGAAGTTGAGCAAGAAATGGTACATATATTATTACTGCCTGCCTCATACTTCAGGATCTTTTGAGTAGCTGCCATTTCTCTAGCTGCTTTTAATCTTATTGTTACCGTTTTCTTTGTGGTGTTCCATAACTTAACACACTATGCATATTTTTGAAAAAGAGATTGCAAAGTCATTATTTTTATCTGGAATGTGAAGAAATTTATTTTGACAGAGTCTTTTTTTTTTTTTTTGGGATAAGCTTGCTATTTAAGCTCTACTGAAAAAGACTTTGTATATTTAAGATAAAAATGAAACATATGCAAATACTAGCTTATGCTTCTCTGTGGTATGTTTGTGTTTGCAGCTGGTGTATCATGCATTGCAGCTGTTGGCATACAGTGTCTTAGCAATTTTAATCATGAGGCTGAAACTGTTTTTGACACCACACCTTTGTGTTATGGCTTCCTTAGTGTGTTCAAAGCAGGTAAGATTTTTTTTTTTTTTAATTCTGTAACTGTCACAGTGCTTGTAGTGTTATCCAGATATCAAAATCAAATTTCTGTGCTTATAATTGCTAAATCTGTGTTAAAAATACACTAGGTAGTCTATCTAAAAATAAGGTTACATGTGTTCCTCTATTCCCCCAACTCAAAATAAAGCAAAAATATTTATTGGGCAACTTTTCCAATTGCATTATTTCACAAATAAATACATTGTGAATTGAGCTTTAGCATAGATTTGTTTTAAATGAGCACTCCTGTGCCATTGCAAGCTTTGTATCAACTCCTTGTTTTATCCAAATGGTGTTTAAGCTTATTTACATTGTGATGCATGACTCTTTGGATTGCTTTCCATATTTTTGTTTACTGATTTACTCATTTTACTCATGTTTACTGATTTTGTTTACTGATATTTCTAAATAGTGTTGCATGTTGAAAACAGTTCAAACTTAGTAAATATGCCCTACTCGGATTCAATTTTTCTGACTTTAAATCATCCATAACATAAAAATGTGGTATGAGTTTGTGTTAGAATTGGCTTTCTGTGTTTGAGCAGTTGTGTTTTTTGAGAAGTGAGCTGGACCGGTCTGTGTGTGGGCAGCTCTCTCAGGAGCTTTGCAGCTGTGCAAGGGGAGGGCAGGCAGGCCGCTCTGCGGAAGGGGTTACCAAGGAAGAGAATGGAAGTTGATGATTAACACTGAACTTTCAGGCTGCCATGAGGATCAGTGGGATAATCCGGGGAAGAAACAGATCTTCCATGATGCTCTACAGACTGCAGAGTAATCTGCCTGGTTTAATGATGTATTACTTATTTTCTTGGTGTCCTCTTGGTGTCCCCTCTCTTAGGAGGTCTTGTGTTTGTTGAGTAACTAAAAAGGATTACGCTGCAGTCAGGACTTTCTAAGTGGGCTTTCACAAGGTGTCTCTTCCTTATACTAGCACTGGCAGCGTCAGAGTACAGAATTTTGAAAGGAAATTGCTTTTAAGGCACCAGAAAGGCAAAAAGAAGGAATGTTTATCATCTTCTAAAATATTGTAGTTTGTAGGTAACAAAATTATCACAGAAGTGAATTCTTCCCAGAGATAATTTGTTCTTAATTCTTGTTTTAACTGTTTGTGTTCCTTAAAGAAAATCGGTGGGCTTTTATGCCTTGGTAGGCACTTTGTATACCATACTATATAGTAAGAGTTAAAGATCTTGTGTAATTTTGTAGCACGCGAACTTTCCATTTTATACTGCTTCAGTATTTGGTGCTACGGGAAAAGGCCTGATGCTTCTCTGTCAAAACTATGAGAACAGACAAATGTATTAATTAAGAAAATCTGAATTACTATTTTTCTATTATATGGAGAGAAGTATTATCTGAAAGATAAGAAAAAGTACCTTGTAACTGGTAATGATGAAAGAGGAGCTGATAGGAAGGTTTCTGGTTATCTCTTTGCTTTTTTTTTTCTGTATATCAATCCATGTAGTACATGGCAAACTAGCAAAAGTTTTAGTTTTATTTGTGTGCTTGCTGTAGTACCACAGCAGTATTTGTTGATTCAATTTGGATATAATTCAAAATGCGTTATTGATAACAGTGGTCTTGTGCTGTTGCAACTAGGTTTGTTGTGCTCATTAATGATATATGGTACTTCAGTTAATCAGTGCCCTTTGGATTTTAGAGGATTCCATGTTAACCCTATGTAAATATATGTGAGAATGAAAGGTTCAGAATAATTTATCAATGTTTTTTTCCTTTCCTGATCAGTAGGAAAGACTGTTGATGGCATTTAAAGAGAGAGAGATGAGAAGGGAAAAAAAAAAAAAAAGGCAAGGCAAGCTGTGCTCTATTCCAAAAGCTTTTTGGTCCTTTGGTCATCCTGCCCTTATTTCTTTGGCTGTGGAATTAGAGCAAGATTCTCAGGAACGCACAAATCCATGGGATCCACCTGTTCCTGCTGGACCAGATGGCTCTGATCCAGCTGCTTTTTCTCCCTTCTTTGCAGCATCACGGAGAGTAGTTGGATTGAAAGGACTAGGACTTGAGTGCTAGGAAAAATTAGGCTCTGGGTTGCTCTACTTTAGGAGAATTGCTCTGTACAGAAAGTAAATAACGAGCTGTAACATAAATAAAAATAATTTTTTTAAAAAAAAGAAAAAAAGATTCTCGTGTTGCAGTCAGCAAAGGTTCTTTTCCTTTTAAAGTGTTCACTAGGTTGTGGCAGACTGTAAAAGACAAGCTAGATTCTCCCCAGCCTCTGACAGACCCTGATGTACGCTTTTTGCTTTTTTTTTTTTTTTTTTTTTATGTGGAGCTGCTGGTAATTTTCCAGATAACATATGACTGATTTGAGCACAGGAGAGAAACACTGACTTCTTGACTTATAGGGCACTCAGACCACTTATAAAGCTGCTCTGACCTAAGGAACGAAGGGCTAAGATAACTTCCCCTTTTTGTTAATTCAGTAAAATATTAAAATATTAAGTGTTTTCTTCATATTTTTTTTCTGCCATACTATATTCTGAGCCCAAAGGGAATTTAATTTTATATGTAGCGTTCTTTGAGACCATTTAATGAGTCTGCATTCCATTTCCATTATCTCAGTGCTGCAGTTAATTGCATCTGATGGACAGCTAGAGAGATTTAAAATGTATTTGTATATTTGATCAAAAAACTCCCCCCAAAAACTTAAATCAGTGAAGGAGGAAAAAAAAATCCTGGAAAAACAAATGCTTATTTTGCACTGCATGTAATTTCAGCCATTGTAGGCTATTTTTCTAAATAAAATAGTGTTAAATTGAGCTGTTTCTTAACATTATTGATATTTTTATAAAAGCATTATAGATATGTGATTTTATTTGATTTGAAAAGCAATGAAACTGTGACAGATTTCTGAACTTCTACCATATTCTCAATTGAACTGGGATTATTGCAACTGCTGTTAAAAAAGGGGGGTTGCTTGTGTAGACCAGCCTACAAATGAATTTGTTTCTCTTTCATCTTCCAGACCTGTGCCAGGGATCATGTGTTTTTGTTATATTAAGTTTCCTTGAATAATGCTGCTGCTCTTAATGGAGTATTCAGC